CAGCAGTGAGCCCAATGTGGGGCTCGAACTCACCAACCGCGAGATCATGACCTGAGCTGAAGTCAGACACCCGACTGACTGAGCCACCCAGGCGCCCCATCTCAGATCTCCTTACAGGTTCCCATGCGTGTTTGCACCTGTGACTACACATGAGTCTCACAGCAACCCTTCGAGTTGGTACACATCCTCATGATCCTCAGAGAGGGAAACTGAGGCTCAGAACGGTGAAGTGAGAAGTACTTCTGAGAGGGCATTTCTCCCAGGAAATGGAGAATATAATGGGGCTTGTGTGAGGCTCCCTGCAACTCCCCTTCCCACTCCTAGATGGAAAAGTCAAGGGTGGGGGGGGAGGAGCTGTGAAGTGGGGAAGGAGTCAGAGGCGGAGCCCCACCCCCACCTTACCCGGTCCCTTAGAGCAAGGTCCCAAGGGGCCCACGTGCTGGCACAAGGCTGGGCGCTGTTCAGATTCGCCTTTTGGAGAGTCGAGGTCAAGCCCACTTAGCAGGCCTGGCTAGCACACCTGCACAGCGATCTAGAAAGCAAGCTGTCCCGCAGCCCAGCATGGCCTTCAGCAACCGTGGCCTCAAGCACTTGGCCAGCGGGGTGTGGGCCCCTCGACCGGCTGCTCACTCATTCACTCACTCAGCAGACGTTCCCGGAGCACCCAGCCAGCGACCCTCCGTGGCCGCTGCCCTCGAGAGGCTCAGAGTCCAGTCAGGGAGGGGAGACAAACCAGCCACAGGCATCCCAAGTCCTGCCGGTGCACTTCACAGAGCTTCCCACCCCATCCTTAGGGCCTCCCGAGTCTTCCTCTCCTGGCCTTGAACATGGGGAGAGCGCAGGGAGTGCGTGAGAGAAGGGATGCAGAGTCGAGCCTGGGAGATGCACAGTGAATGACAGCGTTGACGGTGACGGTGACGGCGATCATGACACTGGGGAGCCTTGCCCCTGCCTTCACCCACGGCCCCTCCCCAGCTGCCCTGCCTGCCTGACCACTCAGGAGAGGAAGGAAGGCCCCCTCTTCCCGAAGGTTCTGCTGAGACACCCACTTCTCTAGAAGAAGGGTCTAGTGGCCTCTTCCTTCCCATTGGTGGGTGGGCGAGTTGCCACTTGGAAACATAGGACAGGTGGAAGGGGAGGGCGTGGGAGGGAGAGACCCTGGGAAAGGGCACACCTGGGCTGGGACACCCTGGGAGTTTCGGAGGGCGAGGAGACCACCGAACACAAGCCGCTCTTCCCCCCGACGGAACGCGGGTGAGATACATTTCTAATCTTGCTAGAGAGGATTCGGAATATGGAGCACACCCCTGCCTGACAGAGAATGGCCCCTCACGCTCACCCGGTCCTTCAAGGGTCCCCCAGTTCCAGAAGACTGCAATATGGGCAAAACCCAGGTTTGGCTGGCTCCACCTCGACCTGGAAATGCAGAACCCCAGCCTCCTCCCATCAACAAATATTTCTGGGAGCCCTGGTCCGGGGTAGGAGATGCCCACAAGTGCTCGTGACTGCATCCTGCGCTCTGTCTGCAGTTTCCGGTCCTGCCTTGCTCACTCCCCACCGTGCTCCAGGAGCGAGTTGCCAGCCACGAACTCTTCCATCTGGGGTGCCCCGCAGGAAGATCTAGAGCCCTGGTAGCTGTGGCCACTTCACCTACGGGTTTGCCCACACTGTGCTGTTATTAAAAGGTTTGCATTCACTGCCAGATTTGTACCTTGGGAGATAACCACATAAAAATTCCAGTTATAAGACCTCTCTTGAAAGCACAGAAAATCAGGCCCCCATCCCCGCGGCAATGGTGGCTGAAGCTGGAAAGACTCCCCTAGCTGGTTTCATCGGGCTGCCTGCCCGTCTCACGTGAGCATTTGAGTTCGCCTCTCCAAGTCTAGTCCAATCTGCTGCCTCTACCCCAACATCCCCCTCTTCGTAGCATCCCTGCACGGCTTTTAGCTAGTGTCTGCTTGAATGCTCCTGGTAACAGAGGGCTTACTACATCTTTGAGGCAGGTGGTCTGAGCAGTTGGTCTGAGGCATTTGGTGCTAGGAAAGGGCTCCTAACTTGAGCTATCTTCCCCCTTTCTATAACGAAGAAAGATGCACGGAAACGAAGTGGGTTTTAGAGTCCAGTGGATCTGGATCTGAGCTCCTCGCTAGCATTTAGCCAGCTGTGTGATCTAAGGCGAATGAC